ATCTGTGACCCCAAAGAACCTTGCACATACACACTTTTTAAAATAATACTTATCACATTATATTTTAATTATATGTTTATATGTTCCCTTCCCAAAGATTGAGTGGCTCCTAAGAGAGTAAGGGTAGCACAAGAGAAATGGGAGGTAGACGTCAAAATCAGAGGTGGCCTATGAACAGCGTAACCAGAGGCATATTCAATTATATGTTTGGTAAATGACAGAAAGTACTTATTGTCTTCATTTTCCAATACCAAGTTCAGAAAGTTCAGCTTATCAAAATTTTGGATGAACATGGTATCTGAAACGTTTTCAAATGGGGAGTTGGGGATTAGATCTTTGTGTCTATCTTAAGGAGAAGGGAGGTAAATAAAAGCCAGACACCAAGTGTTACATATTGCTCATTCCAGGTATATACTAGGTACTCAGCTACTTCTTAATTCAATAAAAAATTTAAAAGTTAAACTAAAAAAATTTTAGATGATGTCTTGATGAAAAAGCTATTTCTTCCCCAAACGTATAATAGGTTCTGAACAGTTTTATTTGGGTATAAGGATAGTTACTCAAGCTTTCTCATGATCTTAAATAAGACCCCTAAAAGATAAAGCAGAAAATTGTAGAATACAAATATCTTATAGTTCCTTTATAAAGTTCCTTTATAAAGACCAAAAAAATTTAATTATGTATGACATATCTCCCATAATCCCTAAACAACGAATTTATAGCTTTGAACTCTTGTGCTCCTTCTGTTGATCCAAAACCATAAATTGGCTAGAAATAGCACATTTCATTACAGTTTTGGCCTTGATGGAGTATGTGCCATTTGGGCAAATCGAAAACCATGAAAAAATTTAAATTCTAGGTCATTTTGTTTTATAATACTGAAAGACTTCAGAGGTAAATGTGTATACCACATCAGACTCAGTGCAATCTGTAAATGCTAAAATACTCCCACATTCCTGGGTTTATAATGAAGAGTGACTAACTTACCTATAACTATTGTTCTCCTAGCTGGTGTTTATAATTTAGTATAAACTACCATCCAGCAATAAATCAAATAATATGGCGAATCTCAAGGAGAAGTAAAATCTCTTAATGGCAGGAACTAGTCAACCGTGAGAGGAAATGATGCATTTGACTTTATAGTGGTATTTGTGCTAATGAGACATGTTTATACTCTAGTATGACTACATTTCTGTCAAGGTTAGCTGGTGACAAGAGTTCAAACCAACTTTAAAAATCTTTTTTTGAAAATAAACATGGACCTATTTCCCAGGGATTCATTACTAAGTGCCTACTATGTGCCAGACAGTCTTCCATAAACTTTAGATGTAATTTTGGGGGAAAAAACATAAAAATTCCCAGCCTTCGATGGGGCTTACATCCTAGTTGGGGAGGAACAGGAAATAAAAATGAATCTAGTAAGTAATATTATGTAAAGGATGTCTAAGAACTTTTCATTGTGAAATTAAGTTTAAATTTGGAATACAGAGAGCCTAGCCCTTTATAGACAAAATGCCTGTCACTCAACCCCACTGTGAGATTCAAAGGTGTATGTCTTACAACTAGTATGAAATGAGTTTGGTATTAATAATATGAACCATGCTTCTGCCAATAACTGTATTTCATATTTCCTCTTTGAACTACTGTCCCATGAGGCTTGTCCTCTCATTCAAAGCCTTTGGTGCCCTGTCCTTCTATTCTTGATGCATCTCCCTTTCTCTGACCACCATGTATACAATATCTTGGTCAGGCACTACACTAAGTGCTGGAGATACATAGTTAATTAAGACATAGTCTTTACCCTCAGAGAGTTGACTTTCCAACAGGAGAAAGACAAAGGAATATCAAGGCTTATGAGCGTGTAACTGAAGTATGGAAAACATGCTGGGTGAGCCCAGAGAAGGGAATGATTACCTCTGCCTGGGGAAGGCTAGTCTGAGGAGGCGCCTTATGCTGAGTCTGGGAGGATGGGTAGACATGTGAAGGCAGAGACAGTATAGTGGCTCATATGGGCCAGGAAGAATATAAGCTTGGGAGATCGGGCAGAGAGGAAGTGAAGCTAAATCCTGGAACAGCAGAGGCTATGTCTGCCCAGATACCATTACTTGGAGCTACGTCCCTCATGAGAAGAAATGGAAAGCAAAGCAGAGGCAGCTTATGGGCAGACTAGAGCTGTAGCCCTGGGCACATTGTGAAGGGTGACTGGATCTCAAGGCACAGGCTAACTAAAGGGAAAGCATCTAAAGAAAGCAAGGAGATTAAGCAGCAAAAGAGAACAACGCTAACAATCTATAGACCCAGACACAGATTGTGCTCTCATTCTCTTGGCAGACCTCTCCATTCCCCACTGGACATGCTGCCAACCAGTCGTCCAGGTTTGACAGCAGACTCTTCCATTTGTATCCTAGTCCCAACCTAGCAATGCTCCCAAACCAAACACAGCGGAAGTCCCACTGTGTGTGCCCTTTACTCATGCACAAGCTGGATAAGATAAAGAGAGCTTCCCCCCACCATGTTAAATTCCCATAAAATGCATGTTCCAGAATTCATATAGGACTCTTTATTTTTAACCACAGTCACTATCCTCTGGTCCTAGAAAATCAATAGCAAGAAGACACTATGCCTTGGGATCATTCTATGCATTATATATAGCATACTATAGTGTGATCATCCATCTCCCCAGCTAGTGTGGGAACCCCTCAAGGGCAGGGACTCGCTAATAGTAGGCATTCAATTAAGGGCTGACAAACAAATGAATGAATTAACCCACTGGATTTTTCTCCATAGTTCCAAGCTAGTACAACACATGGAAAAAACACCAATTGCTGCTATTTTTCATTCTAAATGATGACAGTATGAAGGCTATTCAACTGGCCTGTCACAAACACAAAACCCATGATCCTATCTACATAGGCACACAAAGTCATACACCAGAATTAGAAGAGAGCAGTTTTAAATTTAAGTTTTTAAAGAAAAGGTTCTACTCTCAGAAATTTGCTATGTGAGTATGATAGTGCCAGTTAAGAGTTCACACACACACAACCCAGCTTGGAAAGAAAGAAACGTTGTAACCCAGAAATATTATGGGGAGAAAACACCTTTGCAAAATTTCAAGAACTGAGTTCAAGCCCCACCACCTCCAAATGAATACACACAGGTTTGAACTGCAGGGGTCCACTTATATGAAGATTTTTTTCAATACAAGTTCCACCAGCGTGCCTGCCTCGCCTGCTTCCCCTTCCACCTCCTCCACCTCTGCCACCCCTGAGACAACAAGACAAACCCCTCCTCTTCCTCCTCTTCTTCCTCCTCAGCCTACTTAGTGTGAAGAGACCAGGATGAAGACTTTTATAATGAATAGCAGTAAACACATTTTCTCTTTCTTATGATTTTCTTAATCACATTCTTTTCTCTAGCTTATTTTATTGTAAGAATAGACATATAATGTACAAACTATGTGTTAATCAACTGTCTATGTTCTTTGGAAGGCAGTAGGTCATTAGTAGGCTATTTATTAGTAGATAAGTTTTGGAGGCATCAAAAGTTATATATGGATTTTAAACTGGGAGAGGGCACCCTAGCCTCCATATTGTTCAAGGGTCAGCTGTATAAATATGCAGTATCCTTAACAGGGCTGAAATATAACAGGCAAAAATGGAAGAGAAATTTTTCTTTAAAAAGAAAAAAAAAAAGGCCACATTGTTAAATCAAAAAGTAAACAGTCATTTACATCAAAGTCTATCACTCTGGACAGGTAATCCTTGGGCAAGTTTGAGCTTGGGCTCTTGAGGCATGCTCGAGAATATGCAATCTCCCAAAGCAGCCAGGTTGTGCCCTGCTCCTAAGGTCTCTCCAGCAGTTGTCCTCTAGTGCCCAGATTACAAATGCTATGCTTGGTGCAGAAGAGAGTTGACCACACTGACTGAAAACAATAATGTTAAGATTTGTGTAGAGAAATGCAAACGTGTAGAAGTCCAGATTGAGGGTCAGTGAGCAAAGAAACTTGAAAGTCAGCCCCTCCTCCCCTGCAGTGTGAGGTTTGGGGGACAGGGGAGGGGGGCTCTTCTCTTGGTGAGAAGAAGAAGAAAGTACAGAGACTAGTACAGCAGAGAGCTACCCTTTCTGGAATCCACAGAGGGTCTGGCCTTTTATCCCCAGGCCCAAGCCCTAGACTGGGGGCCCGGGTTTTGTCATGGGCACCTCCCTGCTGCCCTGCCCCTGCTGCTCCACATGAGCAGAGAGAGACAGGAGGCAGGCCCCTCTGACACCTACTTAACCAAGGCAGATGGAGAGGAGAGCTCGTGGGATGCCTTTACTTCCCCCTCAGGAGGCGCCCAGCAGGAGCCCACAGAGCCAGCAGCTCCAAAATCGGATTTCCAAACATCCTCCCACCCCAGAACAGGCCTTACCCCTCTGGCAGGAGGAAACAGAGCATTAAGCAAGTGTGGCTCTGGCGTACAAAGGGGATTTTAGAAGACCTGAAGAAGCCTTCTTACAGGATCCTGCACTTTTTTCGAACCTCTACAGAAGTAACCAAGTTGAGAAACAGTTATTCACTCACTGACCCAAAGGGGGCAAGGGTGTTACTTTAAGGAGGACACAATCCGTGTCTGCAAGACGTCCTGAGTTACAGACACATACTTTATTAATAATCTTATATACACAAAATGTCCAAGAGAAAGCCTAACAGGCTAATTTCTGACAGCTCCAGATAACAGCAGGAGGAACTGAAGTCACGCTGATTCTCCGGCTTCCACGAACTACTCAAAAGCAATGGTCCCTTTCCCACCCAAGGGATGTGATACAAATAAATAAATACAATTATCTGCAGAACTCAAAGTGCAAGAAGAACACTGTGAAGTCCTTCTCCCCAAGTGCAGTGACTTGTGGGAAACAGATAGGAAAATAAAAAGAACAGCTGGAAAATTTAATTACAGAACAACGCAAAAGCTGACACGGTTTCACAGGATGAGCCAACGGCCGGAGCCACTCTCCTTTACCTTAAGATACAGAAGCAGCTCTTCGCTCCTGAAGATAAGCGGCAAAACCCGAATCTCTGTTTGCTGTCAATGTCAGTGAGCACGAACGTGAAGTTCTGGCCAACTTGGCTAACTGTGAGGCTGCGGCAAAGATAGAACAAAGAGGAAAATGAATGTGCAGTAAGTTTCTTGATAAAGTATCTAATCGCAACAAGTCGTTGAACCGGTAACATTTCCTCTCTCAGTGGAACTCTTTATAAATGAACTTAAAATTTACACACTTCAAGGAAACAGACTGTGAATTGGTTAAAAAAAAAAAAAAAAAAAAGAAAATACAGCCCATAGCCCACTGTGTGACCACCTCAGAAATCACAATCTTCAGAGCTATCATACTTTCCCCTTACTGAGCTCAGGCCCTGAGGTAGGTCTGTTAATCAGCCCATCAATCCTGAAAGGTGCATCCTATTAACCTCATTTGATAGATGAAGAAACAGTCTAGAGAGGCACTGCCTAAGGTCCCAGCTGGTAAGAGGCAAGAGGCTGGATTTAAAGCCTCGCTCTGGCTCCAAAGGCCACTCCACCAGCTTGCTGTTAACAGTGCCTGGTGTCTCCTCTAGCTCAGAAAACAATATTACAACAGAATTTAGGTGTCTACTATGTGGCCAGCCAAAAGTTAGACACTTGATCTATATCATCTCATTCACTCTCACAGCCACCATGGAATTTAGATGATGTTCCCAGTCTACACAAAAGGAAACTAAATAACAGAATAGGTAGTAACTGAATCAAGTTCACAGAGCTGCTAAGGGGAGAAGCTAAAATCGAAATTGAAAAGAAAAGAGAGCAAAGTTAGGTATTACTTTCCTAAATTTCTGCATCTTTCACAATTTCTAAGCTTATGAGGAACATATTTCATATTTTAGAGGATAGAAATACCAAAATGTCTAGCGTTGCAAGGTGCTTTCTAAGAAATGGAAACAATGTTTTTTAAAAAGACAATTTTTAAAAAGCTAAAAATTTCTGCGTCAATACAAAAATACATAAACCACACATAAATGTAATATATAACTTAAAAATATCTATTTTTAAATTAAAAAGCATAAAACCACACATAAATGTAATATATAACTTAAAAATATCTATTTTTAAATTAAAAAGCATAAAACCACACATAAATGTAATATATAACTTAAAAATATCTATTTTTAAATTAAAAAGCATATTACTAATCAGATTAATCCAGAAACTTTTTTAAATGTTACAAAATGTTTTAAAAACCTCTTTTTATCAGTTAGCTTGGATTCTATTCCTTTTTAAAAATTTAACCTTTCCAAATTCTATTATATAATGTAAATTTATACTAACAAAATATTTTAGAATTTGACATTGAATTATTTAAAGGGACTCATACTGTATCTTTACAAAGTATACTCAAATTGATAAAATACTCAAATTGGTAAAATATTCAAATCTATGCCATCAGCTATCAATTACTTTATAAATTATTAGTAGAAATGAAAAATCATAGTTTACCAGGCCTTTTCCAAAGGCAGAATCCTCATTGAGTCTTTGGATATGATACGAATTAAGTTTTCAAATATAGGGTAGACTTTCTTTCTAAAACTCTGTAATACAACCTGCATAGAAAATTAAAAGAATTTTCAAGGTATCCCAATATAAAAGTCAATGGACCCTGCCTGGTCATATTTAAGCAAACAACTCCATTCCTTAGAGCAAGGTTAGAAAGTGCAAGAAAATAATTCAGAAAGAAAAGAAAGTGTTCCACTCTCCTTATTTAACTAGGAAGGTGAACAAAAACAAGGCGGCAATTTAAAAGCAACGTGGTAATAAAGCAGGTGTAAGTAATGCTATCCCTCCACCTTACTCAGCCAGGAGAAGGAACACATTTCTATAAAAGTTATAGAGCTGTCAAGGGGACACCAAACGCTACCTTCTTATGGCTGTTATGTTTTATCTATAAAGCTTGGATACTGTGTTACTATGGTGATTTAATACTATGTTTTAAAGGGGGATTATATGATTAATTTTAACAAGGTTGAGAACTGAAGATGTGTGAGAAACAGGATTCTAGCTCACATAATTAAAGTGACTGGGGAGAAAAGTGGGGCCTCAATGGGGGAAGGGAAACCCTGTTTTATTAAAATATTTAAAGCAACAGGTCTGGATGATTCTAAGTTACAAATAAGCTCATGCTTTTGTGAAATATTACTATGTGATCATACAAAATATGATTGTTCATTATTTTAATTCAAGGTTTTTCACTTATAGAATGCTTAAAATGAATACTCTCTAAGTAGCATCCTACAAGGGAAGGGTATTGATAGGGGTGGATGAAAAGAAAACACCCAGAATCTCTAGGAAAAGGACACAGAATGAACACGACTTGACTCGTGAATTGGGTGTCATTAATTTCCTACTATTTTTTCACTCCCATTAAAAATGCTGAAAATGTGTTCAGCTACGCTGTAGGCTCAAAGAATGAATCATTACTCATTTACTTGGTTCAAATCCCAACTCAATCACTTGCTAAATGGGCCTTAATTTAGCAAGTTACTTAAAACCTCTAAGCACCTCAGTTTCTTCACCTGGAATAACAATGAAAAACTACCACCCCACCCATAGGATGTTTTGAGAATAAGTGGAGTAAGTATTTAGTATAAAGGCCTGTCCATAGTAGGAACAATTAATAAAAGGGATGCAAGCTGTTACCAACTGTGAAAACTGAAGTTCACATTAAAATCATGCATTTGCTTAGAATCTCCCTGATTCACTCAGCTTTATAATATCTGTGAATAGAAGTTAGTCCACCTTCTTTCTCTCTTGTCCCTTGCATTTTTTAAGGGTAGTCTTTTGGGTAACCAAGTGACTGATGTTTGCATTAAAGTGAAAGATTCTTTTGGGGGTGCCACAGCTTAAAAGGAGCACTTATTCATAATTAATTCACCTTTTTAATTCTTGGAAGGGTGAAGTACAAGTCATCAAAAGCCCCAAACCAGTAGACTCTAAAATATTTTTTCCTTGGACAATTTCCAATAAACTAAAAGCCTAGCAGGGGCTATCAAACAGAGGTTAATGTGAAGGGTTCTGAATCTCCAAGGAATTCATCATTTTCTTTCCTTACTTGCCGAAGTGGTCTATGGGAGTGTTCACTCTTTCTCCATAAAAATGACTTTAAGGAAACGATCTGTTTCCTTAAAGGCTGCAGTTTTTGTGTTTACCTCCAGGATCGGCATCCTAATTTCCACAGGAATCAGAGATTTCATGATGATGAAACCTAGAAGAAACCTTAGAAACCATCTTGCCAAATTCTCTTGTTTTACAGATAGGAAAACTGAGGCTTAGGGTTTAGTTTTGTTTTGTTTTCCAAAGTAATCAGGGCTAGAACAAAAATCCAAGCCAACTTCTGGTTTGGAGTCCTTCCCTTTCCATCACTCTGCACCAGACACAATGAAAACCCTCCCTGAGAAGCTTTCAACTCAGTTTAAGGAACTAAGGTATGTGAGAAATTCAGATAGTTGTCTTAGCAAACAAATTGTACTTTCCACTAAGCTACAGAAACCAAATTTGAGTGTCTCCAGAAACAAACCCAGCAGACCAGAGCCAAGATCAGTCTTAGCTGTGCTTCTGGTGCCTAGGTTAATACGGAAAACAAGGGAGAAAAGCAGTAAGTAATCGAACCACAGATTTTAACCTTCACGCTGCCTTTCAAATGCCTGCCACCCAAGCAAGGCTTCTTCAGCAGCATTTTGCTTAATCTTGAAGTTGTTTATAGGCCCAGTGTACAAATGGTATGAAGCACGTGGATGGACAGTTTGATTCCAGTCTTTCAGTGAGAAATGAGATTTTACATATGAGCCTCACTTTTAGTTTAGTTATCCATTTTGCAAATTGAGCTACAACTACACTAGGTACTGTAACAAGTGCTGGATATATAACATTGAATAATATAGACAGGGCCCCTGCCCTTACAGAGCTTACTGTCTAGTTGAAGAGGAATAATAAACAAGTATACCACAAAACATGCAGCTTGTAATAGTGTTATTACAAAACCAAAGAAGGAACAAAGAAGAAAATGGAAGAGAAAGAAAGGCCTTACTGAGATAATGTGGTCAGAAGAAGCTTCTCAAGGATGGCAACAATATTGACCTAAAGGATGAGTTGGAGCAGCCACTCAAGGAACAGAAGACTGGGTGTTTCAGGCAAAGAAAAGAGCTGTGTGAAGATTATGGGGGCTGGAAAAAGTCAGGCCTGGATCAAGGAACTTAAAGGACACCAGTTCTGTTAAAGCACTAGAGATAAAGGGGAAAGTGGCATTACATGAAGTTGCTAGATAAAGCAAGCGCCAGATTATGTAGAGAGACCCACAGGTCATGGTAAAGAATTAGGATTTTTTTTTTTTTTTTTTTGGTAAGGGCAAATGAAAAGTCATTGAATGGTTTTAATCAAGAAAAAACCGTCTGGTTTATAGTTTCAAAAGTTTGATCTGACATATGGAGAATGGTTTTGAAGAAGGCAGGAATAGGAGCAGAGAAAATAATCAGGAGGCTATTGCAGTAGTCCAGGTGAGATTGGATGGTGGCTTCACTCATGTAAGGAAAGCAGAGATGGAGAAGAGTGGCTAGTTCAGGTTACAGCTAGCAGGTATGAATGACAGGCTTGCAGATGGACTGAGAATTGGGGAGCAAAAAGGCGGAATATGACCATTTGATGATAGGAAAGACTAACAAGTGAGGGGCTCCATTTGGGATATGTCACGTCTGAGAAGGCTGTAAAACATCTAAATAGAGACGACAAGTATGGAGCTGAACGTACTAGCTAAGAAAGCAGAGGAAACGTTTGGATTGAAGCTATAAATTTGGAAGTCATCTATACACAGATGGTATTTAATGCCATGGTAAAGACTGAGATCATTTAGTGAGGGAGTTCAGAGAAACAAAAGAGGATCCAGGACTAATTTACAGAAATACCAATTTAGAGGATGGGTAGAGAAGAGACCAAAAGGGAAAAGAGAAAACAATCAGGCAGAACAAACAGAAGGGAGTGGTCAACTGTACTGATGCATCAAGATGAGAGAAAAAATGGCTATTGAATTGACCAATACGGAGGTTTTAGATGACCTT